CATAGCTTATGCCTCACTTCAATTGAAAGTGCATGGGAGGAATTATTTCACTCACAATTTCGAGTTAGTGGCGATAGTGTTTCCTCGTAAGATCTGGCTACGTTATGTTTATGGTGATAAGTGTGAGGTATTTACTTATCATCATAGTTTTCATCATATTTTCACTCAAAAGGATTTGAATTTGAGATAACGGAGATGGATGGAGTTACTTATGGATTATGATGTGACCATTCAATGCCATCTGGGCAAGACTAATGAGGTGGAAGACGCTTTGAGTAGAAAAGAGGTAAGTACTTTAGCTTATTTAGGTGTAGAAAAGCGACCCTTTGTGAAGGAAATCTAGGCCTTATAATTTAAGTTCATGTATTTGGGCATCTTAAAAAGATGTGGGGTGTTAGCTAATATTGAAGCTAAGTCCATTTTCATAGAGGACATCAAGGCCAAACAATTGAAACATGGGAAATTAGGAGAACTTAGACGAAGATTGCAATGGGTAAGTCCCACGAGACCACTCTTTATGTGTATGGGTTACTCGATCATAAGGGTTGGAAATGTGTTCTCGAGTAGATGACTTGATATAAAAATTATTGGCCGAATCGCATGGTTCACGGTATTCCATTGACTCGGGTGTGACCAAAATTTATAGGATCTGAACCAAATTTATTGGTGGTTAGAAATGAAGAAAGACATCGCGGAGTTTGTGGAGAAGTGTCTAAATTGTCAACAAGTGAAGTATGAAAATCAAAGGTCTTCGGGTTTACTCTAAAAAATGTCAATTCTGGAATAGATGTGGGAAAGAATAGTTATGGATTTTGTGGTTGGTCTCCCCAATACCTTGGGGAGGTTTGACTCTATTTGGGTTCTGGTTGTTAAATTGACTATGTCTTCCCATTTTATTTCGATAAGCATAGATTACATAAATTGACTATGTCTTCCCATTTTATTTCGATAAGCATAGATTACAATGCAAAATAAGTAGCTAAAATCTATGTGAAAGAGATAATGAGGCTGCATGAGGTGCCCCAATCTGTCATCTTAGATCGTGGTACCTTTTTTACTTCAAAGTTTTAGAAGAAGTTGCATGAGGAATTGGGTACGTAATTCACCTTTCCTACAACCTTCCATCTCTACAAAGATGGACAATCGAAAAATACTATTCAATTTTTGGAAGATACGTTGAGAACTTGTGTGATTGACTTCGGAGGGCATCGGGATAAGTTCTTACCATTATGTGAGTTCTCTTTCAATAATAGTAAACTGAAGCATTGATATGTCACCACTTGAGGTGCTATATAGGAGGGAATGTAGATCAGTCATAGATTGGTTTGAGGTTGGATATGTGAAACCTTTGGGGGTTGATTAATGAAGGATAGTGAAAATAAGGTGAGGAGCATTGAAGATAAACTTCCAGCACCCAGAGAAGACGAAAGAAGTATGTAGATCATAAAGTGAGAGACATATAGTTTCACACCAGTGATAATTCCCTTCTAAAGGTTTCACCCACGAAAGGGGTGATGAGATTCGGTAAGAAGGGTAAGTTGAGTATATGATATATTAGTCCCTTTGAGTTTCTTGAACATGTAGGACCGGTGGCGTATATATTGACTCTACCCCTTAACTTTTCCGGTGTACATCCCGTACTTCATGTGTCCATGCTGAAGAGAACACATTGATGGTGACAACACCATTAAGTGGGATTCAATAATGGTAGATAAAGACCTTCAATATGAAGAGGAGCCGATTGCTATACTTAATTATGATGTTCGTAAGTAGAGAACCGAAGAAATTAAAGTCGTGAAGGTTCAGTGGAACATTTTCCAATCGAGAAAGCTACTTGGGAGACCGTGAATAATATGCGAGATAAGTATCCGCAATTGTTCACTAATTCAGGTATTATTTCGCTCTTTCCTTAGCCCTCATTTCCTAAGTTTGTCACTCGGGAACAAGTGATAGGTAAATTGATATCTATTGTAACGATCGAGCTCCGTCGTTATGAAAATGCCAACGAGGGAAAATCGAGGCCTAAATTATTTTTTTGTAGTGTTAGGATTTTCCAACCTTGTCTAGATTTGGAGTAAATTAGAGTCCTCCAGGTGTAGGGAAATAGGGTAGATTGGGTGGAGTAAATATGAATTTGATTACATAATCAGTTAGATAACTCGTTAAGGAATCTGTATAACTTTATGGCATTTAATTTGGATAAGTAGATCTCTGAGAATCGATCTTGGCAATAAGGGCATTTTTCAAATTTATGGGGTTAAGGTTGTGCTATAAAAGAGGGGAATTTAGCTCATTTTCCCAAAATTTGCCAATGTAGCAGATGAGATGGAATTAAAATCATAGATTTTTAGAATTTTCAATGAGGCTCACTGGTCCAAAAAGGTGTCGCTGCAGCGACACCGCTACAACTGGATGGGTGCCGCTGTAGCGGAACAGTCTCGAATAAAGCTGTAAATAAATCCCCTAAACGACCTTATTTTGTACTTTTCAACTTTTAGAGCTCAAAAACGTCCCATGGGATAGGAAAACTCATTTTTCACCATTTCTGAAGCTAAAGGTAAGCTTTTCACTCCTCAAGTTCACTTTTCGATCTGTAGAACGTAATAAAATGGGTCAATATTGATGGGGAAGGGCATCTTGATAGATTCTATGGTTTAATTAACCCTAACTTGAATAGGTTGGATCATGGGTTTGATCTACATTCCATAGAATTGTTAGTAATCAGATAATTAGGTTTTGTTGGTTCTTATATTATTGTGATTTTTGAAGATCAAGAACAAGCGGAACGAATCAGGAAAGGCAAGGATCAAGTTTCTTAGGGTTTCAAACTTGTTTCGAGGTAGGTGATGGTTGTGATTTTATGATTGTGTTATGTATGCATGTTCTTGCTTCATTATGATACCTTTATGTGTATGAATGTCGTAATATATATTGCAGTGTTGTAACTGAGATAAATGAATGATATAACCATGAAATCTGATATAAATGTGTGATCTTGATGATATACTTGTGATTATGATTGTGGTGTGTGAATGGGGATGGGATTGCCACGTTCTGGCATAAATATTTGATTAGGTTGCCACGTTTCGGCACAAGTATGGGAACGGATTGCCACATTATGGCAAGATAACTGGGATCGAGTACACGGCGGTGCACTAATAGTTTGTGTTTGGGTTCCATGACAGGACAAATGATGTGTTAAGCATATGAAATGTGTCTTCGAATTTTCATGTTGATAATGTTTTTTATGTGGATATATATACTTGTGATTATATTGCACTATGGGATAGTCGATTGATCCTACCAACACGGTGGTTGTTTACGCATTATGCACATGCTCTTATTTTTGTTCAGTACAGGGCATCTTCAAGCGGCTATTGACAAACTTCACTTAGGAGATTAGAGATTATCACATCGACATCAAGGGTGACATGTATCTTCCGGGCTTCATGGAGTTTTCTTTTGTCCATGTCTACCATTTCGGACATGGACCTTTATATTTAGTTAGTTGAATAGTTGATTTGCAATTCCTTGTTTAGACTTTATTATCGTTAGTAGTTTTTTTTACATTGACATTCAGATCTTAGGTTTATCTTCCGCAAATTTTAATTTTTAGATTTTTTGTTTAGTAATGAACTTTGCTTTTAATCATTTACTTACTTTCGTAATTAAAATCCCTTAGTTTGAGAATTATTGCTTTAGTTAGGCAGTTGTAGTGGTTCTCCCACCGGCTTGTAAGCGTCGGTGTCAATCACGACGGATTTTGGGTCGTGACAGTTTGTGGTGTATTTTTTATGGTGACATCTCTTTATAGAAAATTTCTCTTTGTTTGAAGTAGAAATAGAATTAAGATGTATTAGGAGCACTTTTTATTTGTATTTATTTTCACATGGTTACTGATAGACATGTTTCTCTTTTCAATTAATAGTGTATGATACTTTCTGAATTGGTGCATCAATGACAATAAATATAATAACTTATTCTTTTTATATATAAATACCATAAAAAAAACATTGATAGTTATATATTGTGAATATTTTTCACTCACATGAGAGGAAAGATTTATGTTTGTGCTTAAAGATTTGAAATTCAAGGATTGTTGCATATTTTATTTATTTGAGTTGGAAATTTTAAAGACAATTTTGACAAGTGATCAGTGAGGGAAACATGTCGAAATTGTTATGATTTAGTATGATATTGGAGCTATTATAATCTAGTGTTATAATTTATAATATTATAAAATTTTAATTAATAGTATATTTAATTAGTTTTTGAGATTTTTCTCATTACTACTCAACTATTTGATTTATTTAATTTAAGACAATTAATTCGTTTCTTCTAAAATAACTATTTCCTTCCTTTAACAATTTTTTAATTTATGCAAAAACATCTTTTCCCTATATCAACTCAGAACTTTTTCAAAAATAATTTCTAAGCTTTTGTTATTTCCATTTCAAAATAATAACTTATAAATAAATTGAAAATGATAAGGTATTAGTTACAAATTCAAAAACAATTAAATTCTTTAAGGTAGATATTGTACAGCTTCAAGAAAAAAGTAGAAAGATATTTTTTCCTTCTAAAAGAAATATATTTATGGATAAGATAATACATATCTTTGACCGTGGAGATTCAAAAAAATTTGAAGTACATACATGGAATATTAATTATTTAAATCATTGATTGGATTGTGGATATATACAAATTTATGGTAAGTTGGTGTAGGTTCTTATAGTCATGTTAGTTATTCAGGAAAAAAGGTAAAATAAATTATAGATAAAAATGTAAATAAAATAAATAAGCTACTAAAAGGAAGTGGTAAAACTTGGTAAGCAATCTTAATGTAGACTTTGGAGCAACAAGATAGACTTAAATATTTGTATAAATAATAGAACATGGTGTCTTCATTTTTGTTCTTATCTATTTAACTTTGTGTTTTCTTTCAACAAAAAACATCTAAAACAATTTAGTGTTATCAATTACTTTTTGTGGAAGAAATAATGGAGGAACAAAACAATCAATTTTTTGAAATAATCAGATGTCTGCTGGTAGATGTTGATGACAGTTGTCTTCTCATTACTGCAACTTTTCTCAAGAAATCTAAATTTGAAGGTACTTAACTTTAGTTTTTCATTATACCAAATTAAGAGTGTTTAAAATCTAAGACTGTGATAAAACTTATATCATCTTAAAATAAAGTATATTTTGTAAACTTTTCATTTTATCATATTTTTATGAGATTTATGTCGATCAAGATTTATATAAGTCAAAACTAGTCATCAGTTCATCTAATTAGTTTTTTTTTTAATTTCTTATTTTTCTCATCAACTGATTTCAGAAATTTTTCTATATGTATTATCAAAAACTTTAATTTTTTTGTATGTTTTACAATAATATTGTTGTTTTGGCTTAACTCAGTTGTGACAGTGAAGAGCGCAAAAGATGCTTTAGGTGTTCTTCGGAGTAGTGGCCTCTCATTTGAACTTGTGGTTACAGAAGTCCACATGCCCGAAATAAATGGCTTTCAACTACAACAAGAAATAGCCAAAAAATTTAACATTCCTGTTGCTTGTGAGTTCATGATTATTTTTATTCTTCTTCGATTTGAAATTAATAGATGTTTATAAGAGAAAAAAATATTTTCTTATTGACAACTCTCTATCAATAACATATTTATGTAAAAAATAACTCACCCTAAGAGAATAGTTGATGATTGATGGAAATAAATTAACCCTACCCCAAATATAAATGCTTGCTTTTTCTATTTTCTTATAACATCATCCCTTTTATTTAGTTTTTACTCAAAGTGTATGACTTAAATTTGTACTATTGAATGTGACCAGTTTATTCAGTCGATGAAAAAGAAAGTACAATTATCAAAGGACTTGAGAGTGGAGTTATTTTATTTATGGGGAAGCCCATATCACAAAACGATATTATTTTTTTATGGAAATATGCTGCCATGCGAAAGAAAATTTATAAAGGAAAACAAGTTATTAATCAACAGAATCAAGACGATGCCAATGAAAGAATCCCCCATGAAGTAATTCATATTGAATCTTCATCGCCGGACAGTGAGAGGGACAAGTCTGCGAGAAAATCTGAAGAGAACAAAAGCGAACATAGTTCGTCTCCACCATCAAAAAAGACTAGAATTGTTTGGACAGATCCCCTCCATAACAAATTTGTGGATGTCGTTTCAAAACTTGGCATGAAGGGTACGTCTTTTCAAACATTATATAGTGAAAAATATGAGATCATCTAAAATTTATCTTTATGTAAACTACCTTACATTCGATGAATGATTTTTTTTTTCTGCAGAAGCTCATCCAAGGAAAATTCTTGACCGCATGGACACTCCTGAATTGACAAGAATACATGTGGCAAGTCACTTGCAGGTATACTACAAATAACTCATCAATAAGAATTACTAATTTAGCTTTAAGTTAATGAAATTATATATTCTATAATAAAATACATGAGCGTAGCAAGGATTTTTTTATAATTATAAACGCTCTAATGTTTATTACACAAAAGTAAGAAACTAAAATTAAGTCATAACTTAATAAATATATTTTAAAGTAGAGAACACCTAAACGAATTAATTAAAATAGTGATCTAATTATGATAAATTTCTAAAAATTTATCTATTATATTATAAATGAATATGAATTATAATTCAGAAAAATATTTCAGTAATGCCGATAAAAGTTGTTGATCAATATAAACAATAAACAATAAGGAAAAATGTCAAACATACATATACATAGTAGCATGCATGCACATTGGGGACGTGAGTGTGTCATTAACTAACCCACCGCCGGAGAAACCCTTAAGACTTAAACTTAACAAATAATAATCAATCCATCAAATCAACAATATTATGTCCAACAATGTTTTATAAAAAAAAATAAACTTCATAAATAAGTTAAAATCTTATTTAGAAACTCCCCAAAAACTGAAAGTCATCGTAAAGAACTACTAAGTAAGTCAATTCCACTAAAATGTGTTACAACTAAAATTTAAGATAGACTATCCCCGTGTATGAAACATGGACTTGAACTGTAAGATGATCCTTGGTATACTAAGTACCACCCTGTGATAAAAAAAATGTATGTTAGGTTAGATATGTAGTTTTGGAGGAACCCTATCAATAAGATTCACTCAACAAAGAAGAGTAGATTTTGATATTATTATGTACTCGTAGGCATCATAGACATAAACCAAACAACAAGTAGATTAGACTCGAACACATAAATAATTCACGACTATTAAATATAATCATCACAAGGTTATCAATAATAAGTCTTTCAACTACATGCTCAATAAACCATTAACCTACACAACAATAAACAAAGTATACATATATGTTGAGAAAATTATTTATCTCAACAACCATAATTTCCAGGGAATAGCTTCGTCCATATATCATATTGTCATGGTACCCAACCTTCGATACATACATACATTCATATCATCACTAGCAAGCATGTGTAAAGATCAATCAATAAGCATTTTACTCAGAAGTATATATACATAAAATTAAGTATGTTCTAAAAATATTTAATCATTTTAGAAGGGTGTAATGAGCTTACCATGATAGAAAAAATCCTAGATATGGGGTTTTGGAGCAACCCTTATGAATAAGATTTTAGAGGAACGCTATCAATAACGTGAATTCTATTAATATAACTTTTATTTCGAAAGTTTTTATTGCTCACTAATCCCTCCCATTAGGATAATAGAGGATCAAAACAATCAAACCTCAATTAAAAAATCACAAATGACTCTCAAACCCTATAACATCTTTTTTTTTGCTAAGAACTATTATAATCAGAAATTTGCACGTACTATCATCCCGAAAAATTCAATCTAATTAGATAAATTTTTAGGACTATCATAACGACAAAGCATGTCATTAGACACATAGATAACACATACTTAATGCATGCGATATTATATTAAAATAACAATCATAAATGCTTATCCTTAGATTTTGTATATGAAAAATATTACATAATGAATGTTGAAATGTAAAGGACAAAATAGAGATGATATGAAATAAGGGTGGGGTGATAGTCAGAGAATGTCTATTATATGCAATGTTTAGGGGATTTTTGATATTTAAATCAAAGTTTGAAGTGTGTATTACTTTCAGTCCATTGAGATATTGTAACTTCTCTTAAATGGAATTCAAGTATCGATACATATGATACATTAAGTATTTTGTTGAATAAAAGCTATAAAATTTGAAAGTTGTAGTTCTATTAATTTATGCTCATGTTAGAAATTCAATCATAGAATAAATTTTCAAAGTAAGATAAACATTGTATAGAAATTTACATATTATTTTTTTTATTGCTAGAACAAAGTAATCATTCTCGTAACTTACAAACTTTGTAGAAATATCGCATGGACTTGAAAAAGGACAGTAGAGTTCAACAACTTATGCCAGAAAATTCGAATGTTGTTGATCATGTTATAGAGACTGATCATCAAGACTTTCATTCTTGTCAAAGGGAGAAAGAATTGGCAAGAATTTTGTGTCGTCATATAAATAAAATGTCTCATAATATTGGATTGGGAGAGGCTTCAATAGAGCTATCCACTTTACAACAGAGTTATGAAATTACTGGAAATGGAGGAACTGGTACTACAACAGATGACTTTGTTATGTTGGACAATGTTTATTCAACTGAACTTACTTCAATTATTTCTGGAAGCCAGCTGAACGTTCAATCTTCTAATATGGTACGTTTTTTTAAATTTTTTAGATTGTTTTCATATTAATTATCTGGTATTCTTTAAGTTCAAGAAGTTTTCAATCTTTTTTGGTAATAAAATGTGCAATATTACCATAACACCAACAAGTAATACAAACTAAGATCATCAGATCTTCCTGCTAACTTCTAGCAAGAGCGTAAGAAGAACATACACCTCAGAAAAAGAATAAAATCAACAGCCTATTCTAGTCACATATTCTAATCAAGCATGGACATTTACTTGCTTTTCTTGCACAACTAAACATACTCACTCTTTCTTTTTGTTCTCTTTGAATCTATATCATTATACCTCCACTATTTACAATTGTTTGCCGGTATACCTTCCAATGTTTAGCCTGCCAAGTATAATATACTAATGCTCCAGAAATTGTAGCCACCACTTCTTTTTTGAATTGCCTCCAGTGTCTTCCTTTGATCCATTGTAGACTTTGTTTTAAACCTTTTGTTGAATGTCAATTCCTATCAATATTTCTAACGCGGTCCTTGCTTCATTAATCCATTTGCATTAAGCAAATATATGTTGATCATTTTCATTGACTTCCTCATGTTCTCTACTTGAATATGAATCCTTTGTAGCCTTTCTTTAGTCAACAACCTAAGCATTTGTTCTTGGCAACATCATGCAATTTCAAATCAGGTCTGCTTCCTTCATTTACGTTCATGTTTTCCAGTAGAGAATTATAATTGCTTGATATTCAATATTGTCCATTACTAGTCAACCTATACACACCTCTATCATACCAAGTTGACATCATATCTTTAGGCCATTCAGTCTTCTCCAGTACCAACTATTTTCTCATGATGGTTTATGACTCCAAATATCCTCATATGCTTTCATATAAACTTCATTTACCCATTTCACTCACATCACATCCTTCTCATTAGCTATCTGCCACAATAATTTCCCCCACTGATGCTAAGTTCCACAACATAGATATTTTGCATTCAATCCTCCATATTTCTTTGGTTTACAAACATTATCCCACATTACAGTGATATCTCCCTATCTACCTCTGAGCTTCCCCATAAGAACATTCTTCATTGTTTATCAATATCATCCAATACACATTGTGGTAAAATAAACACAACTCCCCAAATATATATGGAAAATAAAACTGCATTGATAACCACTTTTTTCTTACAAGTTATTTTCTCCACCAGCTAATGACATTCCACTTTACTCCATTTCTTTGATTATAAACGTAGAACAAATCATGTTCCCCTCAAAATCAATTATTTGGTGTTGTCCTCCATACCAGCTTGAAAGATACTAGACGTTCATGTTGGCCACAAGTTCAGTCACTTCACTGAAATGTTTTAAGGCTTTCTGAATATCTTTTTAGAATTCATATTACCTTTACAGAAAATCGTTAAATCATCTGCAAAGATAAGGTGAGTTTACACATAGGATGAAATTTGAAATCAGGTACGTCACCCATCTTCCGAGGAAGTCTAGTAAGATATTCCATTAGTAGCACAAATAAAAGTGGTGGCATAGGATCTCCTTGCTTTAGCCATCTTCTCCCTTGAAAGTAACCATGACCCTCGCCATTTACTTTAGAAGTTAACTTGGTGGATGTCATACACCTAATCAGTAACTGCGTAAAAGGCTTAGGAAAGTCATACCTCTGTAATGTTTAACATAGAAAATCCCAGCTAACCATATCATAGGACTTCTTTAGATCTATGTTCATTAAGCACCTTGGAGATGTCATTATAGTGCCATGTAATAGTAAAAACTTAAAGGTGTTACTAAAGAGGATATATAGTTCCTGCTCCATTGTGATTTTACTACATTCAAAACCTTGAGCAATATTTTCTATACCTATAATTGATCATATAGAAGTATATTCTAAAAATGTGATTTAAAGAGTTAAGCATATAAAGGAAGTTTGTACACAATATCATTTTTCTCTTCACTATAATTCCTATTTACCTACATTTCCTTGCCTAGTTAATTAATGATGCTGACAATATAGTTTGAGGTGAAAGAATTGTAAAAATATGATAGGGTAACTTTTAATTACTTGTTTCTTATATATTTTAGAACATAAATAGTTGAAATTTGTTTAATGAAAGAATAAATATATTTGATATGATAATTCGAAATTGGCGATTAAAATTATATCAATTGTAAATAAATTGTGTTCAAATAATTATCATTAAATTTACTTTCAATTTTTTGTTTCTTATATTTTTATGTAGCAAGAAAATTATGAAGGTATTACAACAGAGAAAAGTCCATTCAATCTATGTAATGTTCTTCCGAATTCGGAACCTGAGGTAATATTTCATATACCTTTATTTTTAATATAATTTTGAGTTAACCAAAATAATAAAGTTTATACATACTTCCATTTTTTCACTTTCATTATCTTTCTAATTTACCCTCTATAGCGAAAGTACCATTTTAACTCCATTATGATTTTCCGAACTCAAAACATGACATAATTTCTTTTTATATATATATATATATATATATATATATATATATATATATATAATAATAA